TGATTCTAATAACAGAATAAATTTAGAGATAATTAGTCCGTGGGCCATACACAGTTTTTCTTTTTCACCGCTCCATTTTTCATATTTTCAATTACAAGAAACTTATCCATCACGCGGTTATCCGACACGCGGTTATACAACACGNACTAGGCGCAAAGTTATACTGGGTCTGCAAGATAGATATCGTGGTCAGAATATCCGTTTCAACTTAATTGTCTCCTGAGAGTATGAGAAGAGCAAACCTGTAATAAATAAAGCCATTAGGCAATATATTTGTGTCATATGAAAGTTAAATTGTGCACCTGGTTAGTCTACAGGTTAGTAACCCTTACCTAGCACTAAGCTTGTCATTTGGACACAAGGATTCATAGGGCCAAATGGTCCAGCCTGGGCTGGCGGTACAGCGTGAATAGGTTTGGCCAGAAGAGGCTAGGGCGGAGTAGGTACAGCCGGACGGGGAATTGCCTGCTTATGTTGGCTCCAGGGCTTATTCACGAGTAAAATTTGTGTCCTACGGCTGTGCCCCCGGATGAACGATGATTTGGAGGAAATCGTCCGTGACCTGAGACTTGTGTGCCAAGAATGCCCAGAAACAAGTATATACAGTCTTGCTCTTAGTTCGAAGTCTCAAAGCAAACAATAGTGGACATGATTACGTGCTATTATGATTATTATACTTGAGTAATAAAACAATCTTCACTTCCATATGCCACAAGATCGGTTATTTTCCAGATGCGATTCTTGGCTGACAAATGCTATGAATATTGATGAATAATAGAATAGAATAGAAGTGTCGGCGTTGAAGAAATAGGCCCATGGCCTGTTGCCAATTCGTGAATTTTTCGTGACTTGATTCACAAGGGATCCGGCCTTTGGAACCCGATCTTTCCATAACTGACGATTGATTGAGATAGCTGCTGGACTTATTGCCTGGTCCGTAATTTGCTAGGCATTTTAAGACTGAACATATGCTCCTGCATAGCTTCGTCTAGTCTGTTTTTGAAGATGTTCATACTCGGAGCGTCAACGATGCTATCAGGTAGGCTGTTCCACATGTCGGTGACTCGAATATTTTTCTCCAGTTTGCATACTTATGATTTACTTTTTGGAGGGATATCGGTCTCGTCATTGATTTCTTTCCAGAAAATCTTTTTAGAAGAAGAAATAATAATAAATATATTTAATTATTATCATACTATAAAATGCCAATAAATACATTTATTTATACATACCATGAAAGAAACGATGAACTATAGCTTATAGAAAGGTTTATATTGACTGAACGACGCCATTTTCTAATTTCAATCATGTCAGAGATTTTCACGTTAAAAGCATAACAGTTTGTGATGATTATTTTAAGCTCGTGTATGACTTTTGAGCATTTATAAGCATAATGAGCATTTAGCACTTTTAGTGAAATATAAACATACAATTTAGGAATTATGTTTATACTGTTCAATAATTAAAATTTTAATGCTATTATTAATATGATTACTCTGCCAATGTATTCGGAATGGGAATATATCTTCTAGAAGAGCGATGATTGGTTCATCAACGCACCTGTGAGATAAGCCGACCCGACACTTTTCACACAAATTTTAGTGAAACATTTGCTAAGTTCTATTATTGTATTATTTATTTATTATTTACCTGAAGCACTTCGCTCCTGATGCATTTTAGGGTATCAGTATCAACATTCAACGATACTCTGATTACCCTTCAGGTTAACTGAATAGTATTTCATTCTTAAATCATCTCATTCTTGATAGGGTATACTGATAGGGTATCAGTATCAACATTCAACGATACTCTGATTACCCTTCAGGTTAACTGAATAGTATTTCATTCTTAAATCATCTCATTCTTGAATCATCTCATTAATTGGTAGGGAAATATATACGATTTAGTATTTCATAATTCCGTTTTTTTTTTTTTTTTAGTTTTCAGTTTAGATATGCGGATGTTAGATCTGTTGGTTCCGGCCAATAATGTTATTCCTGTTCCGGCCAATGATCTTAGTTCTATTTTTGAACCCATGGTGTCAAGGTGCATTTTAACTCGCGTTTGTCCCCGTGCTTCAGATTAATTGATTACTCTAATCGAGTTCGTGATTTATTTTACTATATTTTCTATAGTTAAATAAGATAATATCCCTCTGTTTTGACCACGCTCATTGCAAAAACTTTGCAACCAAGCACATAACAAAGTATTGTAGCGTATCCTATAAAGTATCCTATACTGGTTAACTATGTAACTATAAACTATACTAAAGAAATAATGGTACATTTTCTTGTTCTTCCTCGCTCTTAAGAAATCCAGTAGATTCATACAATATATTCCAATTAGACGCTACAAAAATATTGGTTTTTCGTCCGTTGACTTGAGTTAACTCATGTTACTTTAGGTTACTTTTTCTTCGTTGTTCGTTCTTTAGGAGATTGTTGAAATGTGGAACTATAAGGACAGAAGAGTGCAAAGAAAACTAAAACTTATTCATTGAAGGAACATCAAAATGATCATCAAAATACGGTAAGAGGCTCTTATTATTCTCGACGTGTCTTTATTCCTGCGGTAATACTTTAGATTAAGTGCATCCAAAAAAAGTTTTTTTTTAATTATATGTTTTTTGGGGTGTAGATTAAGAATCTGAAATCCGTTTTTGGCGGTCGGCATTGGAAATTTTTAATGGAACCTGTTCCTTATTTCCGATGCCGACCGCCAAAAACGGATTTCAGATTCTTAATCTACACCCCAAAAAACATATAATTAAAAAATAAAAACACCTTTTTTTTGGATGCACTTAATCTAAAGTAATACCGTTTCTGCTGGTGACCGAAGTCCTGATGCAACTTACAGAATATTTCGTCTCAAGTTATTTAAAGCAAGTGGAAATTTCCTCTATTTTGACATCTATTGAGGCGATGGCATCTTCACCATATTTGACTATCTTTTTCATCAAAATAATATTAAGAATAATCTCCATTAGGCTTGATATTTTTTATTTCCCACTCTTTCATCATCATAATTTAATTCACAATACATAAAAGGGATCTCATTGCCTGATATGATGCTAAATATGAATAACTATAGCTCTGAATAAGTACAAGTACATCATCTCATATATATATACCAACACATTTTCCTGAAATGGGGTCATACACCCCATAAATGTAACTGCGTTAATTTGTATTAATTTAATAAAGGTTTCTCTTCGTAAGTTTTAGTCAATGTTCAACACATTATTTCAGGAAGGTAATTGTAATATGGCGAAAATGTAACCTGTTGTCTAGGAGTTTTTCCCTCTGGAAATAAATTTATACCTGGGACCTTTTCTTTTGAGGGTTTGGAAGCTTAAGGGTTATTAGCTTCGTCGAATAATTTAGATAGGTTTCTTGTTATCTAGAGGATACTTGTTATCTAGAGGATACTTGTTATCTAGAGGATACTTGTTATCTAGAGGATAACAAGGAACTTCTTGTTATCTAGAGGATACTTGTTATCTAGAGGATACTTGTTATCTAGAGGATACTTGTTATCTAGAGGATAACAAGGAACTTCTTGTTATCTAGAGGATACTTGTTATCTAGAGGATACTTGTTATCTAGAGGATACTTGTTATCTAGAGGATAACAAGGAACTTCTTGTTATCTAGAGGATTAAAGTCGAGTAGACCTGTATATGTAGGATGAAACACACCCAGAGTATGCATTATTAAGTCTGCTGATTGGTTGCCTCAATTCCACTTCCATAATCTCGCAGTGGTCGGATTGGGGCAAATGGCAGAGCATAAATTTTCAAAACGTGTTCAATTCTTTTTACTTTTGGTTGGTATGTTCTTCGGTCAGCATTTGAGCGTTTGAAGACTGATTTTAATCCAAAATAATGTTTTGTAATTCATAGAAAAAGGTTCCTGCGAACGCATGAGGGAAGATATGAGAAATTCTATTATTAATTAACGCCTGGAATCTTTGCATCTGCACGAGGCTGTATATTGTGCCGAATACGTTTAGGGTTTTAAATAATAATTACAAATTTAATTTTTATCCATTAAACGTTCAGGAATTCTTATATAATTACACAATAAATAATTAATTCAAAATTTACAAAAATCGCCGCTATCAGCTACAATATTTCGGAAAATAAAAGTTCAGACATGTAGCTTCAAACCGTTTATTTTCAAGAACACATTGAAACAGAACCCTTCTTACCGCCTAGTCTTCTATTGTTCTGTATTATCTTCCTTCATCTATACGGACCAGGCAATAAGTCCAGCAGCTATCTCAATCAATCGTCAGCTATGGAAAGATCGGGTTCCAAAGGCCGGATCCCTTGTGAATCAAGTCAAGAAAAGTTCAAGAATCGGCAACAGGCCATGGGCCTATTTCTTCAACGCCGACACTTCTATTCTATTCACGGAGGAACATCAGCATGCCGAATATAGCAGACACTGGTGAGATGCACTCTACTTGTTTGTGCTAGTTACTTCTAACTGCTACTTACAGTATGTCTAATGGAGTGCAGTTTAATTAATTAGTTAGTCTCTGAGAAGCCAGTCTTGTCTGGTTATTCCTACAATAGTGTGGCATCATGCAAGGACCCTTAAGAGGCCTAGAAGTTTGTTTCTTAATGATGTGTAAAGCAATAAGATTTTCGTAATATCGCATTAACCTGATGAATCAATTTAACTTTAGAGTTCCTGAAGAAATATCCTACTTGAACTATGTCTCAAGTTACCAAATATAAATGCATTTATTTATAGCTTGATGTCGATGCAACATATTGCTAGTCAGTATGTTAGTATGAATATCAAGGGTAGCATTGTAATTTCGGTGAAATATGATACCTGCTACAACTATCTTCGAAACAGGATTTTCTTAAAACTTGTTTCAGAAAATAACAGAAAACTTGGAAACTTTGGATAATTATACAAGTGATCCTGAAACCAGACAAAGATTGACAAGAAACGCCATTTTCACGAACGCAGTACGTGTTGAGTCGTGTCATTCATGGAGAATAAAAGAATTGTACTTCAGCTGGAAACCATTGCCGCCGTCTCTGTCGTTAAGAAGGATGTTGAGTTTGTTGGCAACCGATCTGATTTTTCTGGGCAATGAAGTCCCACATAGAGGGCGTGCCATGGGCTTCTTATAAAGTTGGTCCCCGCGTCTACTCAACCCCAAATAATCCCCAGGGCACTTTGGGGAACTGGAACCCCCAGCCACACCCACATCAAAAGAAACGAACTCGAGGATGATTTTGCAGCCAGCGGGTGCCTGCCGGATATCATCAATTTGCATAATTAATCATGTTGCTAACATGCGAGAAATAATTCAGTATGAATATTCGTGTACAATTCATTGTGGTAAGTAATACCTAAGCGGATTCATTGCATTTACCGCAAGTGATCGATTTAACCTTTGTTGCTGACAGATGAATTTAATGTAGAGAGTAATCATGGGATGACCATTCGAGGTTCAATTGAAGGAATTGTGGCTGTAAACGGCAGAAGTTCATTAAGAAACTAGATCATGGGTAATAGAGCTTGCTTGTAACAACTGTATGTATAATAGTCTCTTTTTATCGATTTAAATTATTCTAATTGTGCCCTAAATAATATATCTTCCAAGACATAACTCACAGTGAGCCACCATTCACAGAAGGTGTTGGGAGCGTAGTTAAGCTCCTGGATGGTCCCTTGGTCCCCCGACGCCAGGTCACACACCTGTCATAGTCACGGCGTCATGCGTCTCGATATTGGAAGCAGGTGTTTTTAGCGCATTTTCTCATTTAATGGAAAAAAGTCGCTATTGTGCTCATGTCCGTCCGTCTGTCTGTCCGTCTGTCCGTGACCACGTTTTCGTCGATGAGAAAATGCGCTCTCTGTCACTCGCTGAAGTTAGTACCTACTGAGTTATATTTTTCCGTATGGCTATATGGCAGCTTGGACGATTACATTAGAGTTTCACTGGAATTTAAAGATCTTTTTGATAAAAAGGTTACAGTTGTACGACTATTTTCAAACGAGTTACATCTGTGATCGATTAAATTCAAGGAAAAACTTGATAGAGGTTATTTCACTGACGGGATAACGCCACACAAAGTGGTATCGCCAATAAGATTGCTCAACATGAATTTGGGTTATGTTTCGGGATGGAACAGGCTCGGGAAACTCGGCTTATAGAGGTAGGTAAATCAGAAATTCATCTCTAATTTACTGTATTCAGTTGCTAACTAAGAGCTTATTTGGGTATCTCATTAGTCAGGCTGCCCTATGTACATTCTGTTCTAGTGCAGGGTTATAAGAGTCACTATAGTGACAACCTCCAACTATATATAGTGACAAAATGCATGTTTTCGCGTTCATACTCCAATTAATGCGCGTGCGTTTTTAACATTCGCGTGCATTCTGTGCACCTTTACATATGTGACTTGCTCGTGCGTTTATGCTAGTGCATATACACTTTATATAGTGTATAGGTCAAAATGCGAGCAGTTTGTGTATTCAACACAGTTGGATACACAGGTTTTGTGTCAGCAAAACTTGCGATAAATGCACGTCGACATGTGCATGTTACGTGTTTGGCAACGGACGCCCATCGCGCTATAGGTTTAATTCAAATTTAAATCTTTTAGATGATCTAATTATTTAGTCAGCCTCGTGCCTACGAAGAGCAAAATAAAAACTTTTATATATGTAAGTCTCAACGCAAATTTATCCATTAAAATTATTAAAAAAATGTTATACAAAAAGTTATAAATGAAAATTCCCACTCTGCCGTTGTCTAATCACCGGGCGTCAAGTTAATCATTAATTAGCTCTAATCATTAGTGATATCAGATGGTCTCCATCCAAGTCCATTTGTTAATTCACTTTATTATCATTTGGCCGTTTTAAAAAATCCTTCACTAACCTAAATCGTGTCTATATTATCAGAATTTTTATTCACGATCATTATTCATATTGGCAGGTGTAGGTGATTAAATGTTCAATTTCCTTTTCTTTCAATAAAGAATTATTTACAGTCAGCATTTGAAAAGAAAGACCTGCGCACATACATCGCACTCGGCAACTCATACATCAATTTTAATTGAAAAAAAGCTGTAATTAATGAACATTTATAAATAATGATTTATGGTATGCTGGTATAGTGATCAGTGGCTCTAATGATTCCGTGATGGTGAATAAATCAGCGTGTGATGGTGACTAAATCGGCGTGTGATGGTGACTAAATCAGCGTGTGATGGTGACTAAATNGACTCATGCCTTAACTATTTCTTTTTCAATTGAAGATGAAGTCCAAGCAGAGTCCTTTGAAGTTTCACACGAGGAATGAAATGAGCAAGTACAGAACCTCGGCAATGCATGTCGCAAACTACTGACCCTGACCATTGATAGAGAGATTCTTCGATGAGTCATCAAACTATAAGAGGCAGGTCATAATCTTCTCCATCTTTACTTATATGTAAAGGTAAAGTCTTGGACACTACTTTTGGTAGTGTCCATCTTGTCCATCTTTACACTATCAAAATCCAGCCAGTATCGTCACCTCAGCAATGGACATTGTAGTGCAGCTCAAAGCCAGAGCCGCCAAGTTTCCCGTTGAAAAGGATGTTGAGTTTGTTGGCTTCAGACCGGATACTTTTAGGCAAGGACGTACCACAAAGGTTGTTCAGTTTTGGTTTCTGGTACTGCTTATCCCCCCTTTTGCTCACCCCTAAGAAGTCGCCAGGGCACTTTTGCTTGCCGGAGATTGCCATCACGCCCACATTAAACGAAACAAATTCCAGAACGATTCTGCAATTCGTGGGTGCCTGACGAAGATGATTAATTAAGTCAACAGAATGGTAATTACGTCAAAAAGTTAAACGTTTTGACCACCAGCTTCAAATGAAATGTTGGCTTTTACCTCGTTTGCTTTAAAATGGGCAGGTGACTAATCTTCGTTTCAAAAAATACGAAAACTAGAATTACTAATAAAGAATTTGATACATTTTAATGATTACTTTGTGATGGCAATTTAAATCCAATATCATGTGCAATATTTGGGACGCAGGAATTCATTGAATTACGAGATCATGAGTGGTGGGGTGTACGCGACAATTCGTGTTCAACAGTTTTAACTTATAGATAAAATATATCCAATTAGACTCACAGTGAGCCACCATTCACAAAAGGTGTTGGGTGCGTAGTTATGCTCCCTAATGGTCCCCTGGCTCCCCGCCACCAGGTCGCATACCTGACACGATAACGACACACTCACAAAATAAATGGGTCAAAGTGTAAAATAACAAAACATTTTATGCTCGGAGCACTGAATCGTCACTTTACCGGGCCAAACTGGGTCAGGGTGACCCACACGAGGGTGTAAAGTTCAATGGAAATTAAGACAAGATCTATTATTTCTCCGAGTGCGTCATGCGCAGCATAATTTTACTAGCATGGGCATAGGATCGTTGCAATCACAGCTTTGGGTCAAATCTTATCTCTCTACACCACATTTCTATCAGGATCTTAATTAAAAATCAGGTAAATTACCTGCAAGATGATATTTAAAATTGAATTTTGAGTTAGGTTTCATCAGAATTCCAGCTATTCACAAACCAAATTCGGGGACCACCTAGGCTTCGACCGAATAGTCACTACACTAGGCGCAAATTTATACTGGGTCTGCAAGATAGATATCGTGGTCAGAATCTCCTTTCCGACTTAATTGTCTCCCGAGAGTATGAGAAGAGCTGGCAGAGACGAGTCATACCAAGCTAGCAGGCTACCCAAAAACTCTCCTTTAAACCCTGAGCAGAAGCGGACATAGAGCGGCTGATTTACGTGCTCCCCGAGTCCTGGGCGGCACCTAATGCCGAGTCAAGCTTGTCTCTAGATTTTGGTACGGTTATAGTGCATGAATTGGCTTTTTTAAACATTCCCATTCACCGCAACTGTACTAATTGTACAAATTAGCTATGGTCAGTAAATTATTGCAAAGAAATATTACTTAGAACCTATTAAGTTTAGAAACTCACTCTGTGACACCGGTTTGTTAAAGTCGTTATTTTAAAGTCGAAGCCCACGTCGTTCTTCTTCTTACTGCTTCGGAACGTTATGTTTGCTCGGGACGAAGGCGAGTAGATATCTTGTCCCACGTCAGTTGTCGTCAGCCTTTTAATCGCAATAATTTTTGTCAGTCATGGAAATGTCATTCATCATTCTCATATACTTTACTGTGCGCAGCTGAGCAAAGTTTGTACGGAAACTAAGATTAAGAAGAGGTAAAATTTTGAAATGGACTCCTGCTCGTTATTCAACATATATGTCTAGTGCAATTTCACCTTATATT